CCAGATGACCTTTGAAACAATTCTATCACTGCAACTACAGAGTTAGCATGGCTATCACTGCTCCTACACGGTTAGCATGGTTATCTCTGCCCCTACATAGTTAGCATGGTTAGCATTTCTAGCACTGCTCTGACATAGTTAGAATTACTAACACTGCCCCCACATAGTTAGCATTACTATCACTGCCCCTACATAGCTAGCATGGCTATCACTGCCCCTACAGAGTTAGCATGGCTATCACTGCCCCTACAGAGTTAGCATTTCTAGCACTGCTCTGACATAGTTAGCATGGCTATCAAAGTGTCCCGCGGCGCGTTTTGAGCAGCAGGCGCAGCGCGTCGCGAGAGTTTTAGCACCTGATGCGCACGATGTGCCACAAACGCGCTGCTGCTCGAGATGGAAAAATTGAACTTTTTCTGTCCTACGAATCAGAGAAGCTGATCTGGGAGTTGGCAGCGAGACAGACACATCGGTGATGATACAGAGCGCTATGATCACTCCTCTGAAACAGTTTATTCACGCCTAAATTAACTTAAAATGCTTAAACCTCTCGTCAGAATATGTTTGCTTCTATTATCCTAGTGCCTGCAGTTTGGATTATGGACATTAAAACCTCCTTCCAGCCGCCGCCGCGAACCACGGGGAGGGGACCGGGCCAGAGGCTGCTGTTGACTGGGATTCCTACTGAGGAGCGCACCGCCGGTATGTGGGGGTCTGAGCAGCTCCGACAGAAATAATATTGGAAGGCAGGAAGGTAATCTGGATTAACTGACTGCAGTGATTAAGTTTTCAGGTGGGCTTTCCCACTTAAAAACATATTAAAACTACTTTATTCCCACTGATCACAGCAAATATAGCTGCAAGGCAAAGAACGGATAGAGTAGCTCCGTCCAACGCGCGTCAGACCCTATTTTTCTACCATGCAGCCAGAGCAACAAAGCTGCTTCAGCCGCGCGTCAGAACTAAACTGGTTCAAGCAGCAAAAAGGAAGCAGCAGACACGATTTTGCTGCTCCTGCTGCGTTCGGTGTGTACGCAGCTTTAGAGCTAACCTGTTGATACGAGACGCTCATCAACATTAAAAGCCTTCTTACAAATGTCACAAGCTTTGATTGTGACCTACATCTTATTGTAACTTTGCTGATAGCCGCATCCAGGGGTGGACTGGGACAAAAAAATCGGCCCTGGCATTTTGGACTAGACTGGCCCACCACATTTCTTTTTGGTGTACTGAATGCGTATACCAGGGATTCCCAGACTTTACCATGCCAAGGCCCCCCTACACCAGTACATTCTCAGCTGAGCCCCCCCCCATATGAAACATGCGTAAAAACTCATGTGTAAGCTACAGCAACAGAATTTAAAAATGAGTGAAAAAACCACCAAAATAAAAACCCATTTATTTTGTAAAGATGAAGTCACAATTATATTTTATTAAACTTTAATCCATTAATTTAATTGACAAAATATAACAATAACATAGGCCCACCACTTTATTTTTATTAACCTTTTTTTCAACGACATACCTCTTTATACCTTGCAAAAACAGAAAGATTTGTGAACAAAATAAAAGTTTGTCCCAAATTAAGCATTTTATATATTGCAGGCCTAACAACAAATGTAGGCTACATGCTTTAGGTGAATGGTTCTCATAAAGCAGTTATACCCAGACAGGAATATTTTAATTATTTTCATTCAATAAAAATAATTTCATGTATAACTTTCCCTTTCTTATTCTCCATGCCCCCCACTTTGAAAACCAGGGGTGTATACCAGCTGTGCAAGAGAGACAGAGCCACCTCCTGTTGGTTGCATTTTTAGTGGTGAATACCTTTTGCACAACAGGATTTTTTGTTCTTTGTTGTGGGTGGTGATTCAAAAAGTTTTGTAAAAGACAAGGATCAGGACGGGCAAAGTAATCTATTTCCTCCTGCTCTCTGCTCTTATCTCTCGCCATGTCTCTCCTCAGCCGCACTGACATCATGTTCACTGCTCGGTTCACCGTCGCCTCCACTACAACCACCACCACCATCATATTTAACATCAGGCACCGGAGCAGATGAAGGGCCTGCGGCTGGGAACATGTCAATCAGTTTGACACATTTCGCAGCGTCCGTTTGAAGAACTCGTTTCTTTTTTTCGCGCAGTTTCTCTGCGCCTCCCCTTGCATTTCTTCTCCATTACTACTGTGAACCCCGCTGCACAAAGTTCCAATGGAGAGTGAAGGTGTTTTTCTACTTTCTGATTGGCCTAGCCCTTTAGACTGTCAGGGATGATAACCAATGGGCTGCAGTAGCCTGTGGTAAGGGCCGGATGATCGGAACAGACTCTTGCGCTGCTGAGTTTATTTTTCTTCATGCATTATGAAAATATAACAAGGCCAATATAATAATAATAATAATGTCGGGTCTGCCGGCCCAAACAGCACGTCGGCCCACCGGGCAAATGCCCGGTACGCCCCATTACCAGTCCATGCCTGGCCGTATCCCTCACAAATCGGATCAATTTATCTCATACAGTTCATTATAAAGGATTAGAACTGTCAAAGCAGTTCGAGCCTCTTCTGGTACCGGTTGGACCTTAAATTACCGCTAACCAGGGTTCCTACAGCATAAGGCAAGTTAAATTCAAGAGTTTTTAATGCCACTTGAAATAAAAATTTAAGACCAAATTCACAAGAAACACAAGAAAAACCTGCTTGCTACAAGTTAACCCAAAGGTTTATTTTAACATAAACCACTGCACTAATGTTTCAAATGTTGAAAAGCTTCCCATACAGGAAGAAAGCTAAAAAACACACAAATGACAGATATATTTTAACAATTATTTAACTGAATTCACAAACTTTGTTTTAGCAGGGAACAAAACAAATCAGTTTTAAAGCCACAGCATAACCAGTGCTTAGTCTTTTTTGCAGCTATTTTTCTTTGTATGGTTTTCTTAGTATGTTTGATTTGGTGATTAGTGGAGGCGTTGCAGAGACAAGGGTGGAACAAAACTGAGAAATACCGGCTGTTTCTATGTAACTCCATTTTGACGCTTTGTGTTTCGCGTTTCGCATGTGCGACTCCACTGCCTTAATTCCCATCGTTCTGAGCTTGAATGACTTCTTGCACCAAATCCACTGAGCCTCATGTATGTTCCCTGGTTTTAGCCATGGAGAAAACTCTTGGCTGGAGACAATTATTGTTACATTTACACTTGCTCATATTTTCTAGACAAAAAGTTAATGGCGTATTTGCCAAATGTCCCGGCCGCAACAACGCTTCAATTGGTTCCGCTATCGGGACGGAACTAGTGTTAATTTCGTTAACGAAAACTAAACGAAAATATTTTCGTCAACGCACATTTTTCACCGAACGAAAACTAGACGAGACGAAAATCCCCACTAATAAACAATAACTGGGAGTAAATCAGAAATAATTTTCGTGGACTAATAAAGATGAGACGAAAATGCAGTTCGGTAAATAAAGATTGGACTAAAATCTATGGAGATTTTAGTTCACGAACAAAGACGAGACGAAAATTATATATTATTATTTTATGTTTTTTTCAAATTCTGTCTCTTCTCCTCCTCCGCCTCCTCCTCGTCAGCTCCCACACACCCACTTTCAAACCTGGAGCGGGCGGCACAGAGTAGCCTACTCTGGGGCTCAGGAGAAAGAGGAGACGTGCTATATGGACACATTTTCGCTTCATTGAAGTGGAGAACAAACCCAAATGCTTGATTTTAGTGGAAGGGAAGGAATATGGCCACATGATAGCTGGAAAAAATACAACAAACCTGAAGAGACACGTCGCAGTTCACCACAAAGACATTACGGTAAGTTAACAGAAAGATTGGTGGTGATAGTTTATAATGTAACATTAAATCAATGGCTATAATGTCCCAATGATAAACTAACTGATGTTGGCTAACTTTCATAGCATTTAGTATCCAGGTTGGCTACGTTACGTTAGCTTGTTAGCACGTAGCGACCCTAGCCACTTGTTGATAGCATTGTAGCTATGTAAAGTTAAATTTATGCTAACTTAGATATGTTATACTGGCCGGGCAACTATAGTTTCTGTTAAATTGCAAGTTTGATTAAAGCAGACAGACGTTTTAGGTAATCTAGGAGCTGCAAGTGAACTATAGTTAAACACAGAACAACTCAGCAGCTACACATGTATGCTAAATGCTAAAAAGAACTGAAACTATTTATCAGGATAAGAAAATAATATGCCACACATAATTCGGAACAACTGTAAACCTAGATTTTCATACACAAAATAGTCATTGCTAGGGGAACCACTGCAGGGATGTCTTTATTTGGTGACATAAAATGCTGCTCTGTTTATTTGCATATTACTATTACAAGGACATTTGATTTGAATTGGCATCAATATTAATAAAACCAAAATGCATGCACACCTAAAAATGTCTGCAATTTATTCCTGCATAAAATGATAGTTACGGTAGGTTGTTTGTATGAGTTTGAAATGGATGGTCAAATGTAGTTTTTACAGAGACTTAGTTTTTGTTAAGGAAAAAAAGAGACATATATGCTACTTATACACTTGGAATTCCTGTTATGCTGTGCATCTATCCTGACATTGTATTAATTTTTGTTCCAGATTGAAGATACACCACCACTAACAACAATAACCTACCAGCCACCCAGAAAGAATGACAGGCCAGCTAAAGCTGGAAGGAAAGCACTTTTGTTGTATCAGTTGGAGTTTTTTTTTTTTTTTTTTTTTAACAACATTGACCTCAAATCTATTTATTTTATTATTCTATGTGAACTGGCTTTAAACAGCCAGCACTTGTGTAAAGTTCATAAGACACTTAATTTTATTTATTTGTTTCCTTTGCCAGGTGTATTTTATTTGTTTTAATGCAAGCATTTGTGTTTGTGTCTTTGAACCTTAACAATGTTCAAAATAAATATGCAAATATTGTCAGAACATCTTCCATGTCTGCATGTGTTCCTTAAAATTGTGTTTTTTATCAAAAAGATGGGAGAAAATCTTAAACGTTATCTGCTGACAAAAAAGTAAAAGGTTAAAATTATGTCTTGACTTAAACTAGACTAAAATGTTGACAGTTTTTGTTGACTAAAACTAAACTAATAAAATTATGTTTTCTTGGACTAAAATAAAGACTAAAATGCTCTGACTTAAGTCGACTAAAACTACACTAAATAAAAATGCGATGATGTCGACTAAATGTGATAAAAACTAACAAACAATGCTGAAACTGGACTAAGACTAAAACTAAATTTAAAAATGGCTGCTAAAATTAACACTAGACGGAACCAATAATGGCGAGCCACTATTTATTTTTTTTATAAAAAAAATAATACATTTGCAAATTTTAACGTTTTATTTAGATTACAAAAATAAATCGTAATAAAAATAATCCTATATATGATGTTTTAAAAATTAAGACCTACGAAAGGCTGATTTAAGTAATTTTAATACCAATTAAGGCCTTAGTTTTATTTTGAAGAATTCAATGCCTTTTAAGACTTTTTAAGGACCCGCGGGAACCCTGGCTAACACACTTTCCTGGAGGTTTAGGTCAGAGCTGTTCGTCTAACCCACATAATCCAGATTAAATTATTCCAGTTACTGTCTCCACAAAAAACGATGGGAAGAAAAAGGCAACATCTGATTTAGATGCAGCTGCAGAGCCAAGAAGGAAGTCTCAAAGGTTGTCAGAGAAAGAGACGGAGGAAAAGCCAAAGCCAGAGAAGGCCCCTACGAAGACAAAAAAAGGTGAAGGAGGAAACAAAGGCATATGTGGTAATGTGGCCTTTTTTTCTCCCTTTTTTTGAAGTTAACTACATGTCTTATTTTTGTAATTTGGATTTTCTTTGTTTTGAAGTTATTTACTTTTTTGTTAGTTTTACTTTTGGTTGTTGTGTTGCATGTTTTTCTGATTTTGTTTTGAGGTCACGTTACCACTCATACCTGGACACGCCCACAACAGCGGCACAGGTGTTTGCAGCGTGCAGACTGGGATGATAAAAAGGCAGCTGTTTGGATGAAGGGACAGAAGCCGGACATGGAGGGAGCCAGACAGAGCGGGTGAGGGAGCTGCAGACGGAGGGATCTGGAGACTGGTTGACGCAGGTGCGCTGGAGAGAACCGCATGCTGGAGGTGCCCTCACTTATGCCAGCTACGCTGGTGAGGCCCACATGTTGGAGAAAGGACCGAGCGGTGTAGAGATGACCACGCGTTGAGAGGACCGAGCAGTGTATAGATGACCGCGCGTTGAAGACAGGACCGCGCGTTGAAGAGAGGACCGCGCGCTGGGGTGGACCGCATGCTGGAATTATTGAACTTTTATTGACTAGTCCTTTTAAAGCTCTGCTCACAGTCACTGCAGTTTGTTTTGTTTTATAATTAAACCTCTCGGGTGCCACACATAGGCAGTGGATAAGAAAGAAAGAGCCAAGGCAGATAAAGAAACTCCTGCAGAAAATGGAGAGGCCAAAGCTGAGGAGGCTCCTGCAGCAGAGGATCAGACAGACAAGGGAAAAAAAAAGGAAGAAAAGGAAGACAAGCCTGAAGAGGAGCAGAAAGCAGCGCAGTAGAGGAGTCGGTTCCCTGTTCTTTATGTTGTAAAATGCAGAGAATATTTTTTATCAACTATTTTCTTAAGACTGCATTGTTTTAAAGGCTGCGGTTGCATTTTTAAAATTCTTTCCAAAGCTTTTGGGAAGGGATAGATTTTGTCGTTGTGGATTTGGCCGGGGCAGGATGCGGCCTTAGAAGATCTAGTCGAATCCTGCACTGCTTGTCAGCAAATCCGGAACGCTCCCCTGGCAGCGTCCATGTCCATGGGAGTGGCCTGGAAAACCTTGGACGCGCCTACACGTCGATGACGCCGGCCCCTTTTTAGGGGTTATAACTATATACATATATCAGGCCAAAAAAAAAAATTTCGCACAAGACTGGTTCAGCCTTGTAGTTAGTACCCACCCTTTCCGGTTGAATTCCTCAAATGATCATTTGTTTTGGGACTTGTAAAAGTGTTTCGAATGTTTTTTATTGGTTTTCTTAAAATGCTATTTGTTTAGAATTTTTAAAAGTGTTTTCTTTGTTTTTATTTATTTTTTAAAATGTAAATTTGTTTTCCAAAATGACAATTTGTTTTGGAACTTGTAAAAGTTTTTTAGATTTTGTAATATTGGTTTGCACCTCCCGGCCATCGTAAGAACCGGCCATGGTGAGGAATGATGACACCGTGGCGAGGTGCACTGTATGCGGAAGACCCATGAAAAACAGAAAGCACAACTGATGTTTGAGGCTACAAGATTGAAAGTATTGAAAATAAAAGACCAATACTGTTCTGCTTAGTGTTTAAGAAATTACTGTAAACAGTTGTTGAAAAGCTGCTGGCCTTAAGTGTGTATGTATGGGGCACGGTTAGGGCTGGGTATTGTTAAAAAATTTTCAATGCCGGTACCAATACCGATACCTTCACTTCGATACCGGTTCCTGAACGATACTTTTTTCTATACCAGTTTTATAATATCAATTCGAAGAAAAAGAAAATTACACAACATAATAAAGTTCAAATTTTGAGTTTTATTTTTAGCTCAGATTTTTTCATTCAAAGTACCAATCAGAAAAAAACAAACCTCTGTTGTGAGGTTCTACTCATGAGCTCCTCTTCTATTCTGGTCCACACTTCTTCGCCTACTTTCATCTTGAATCTCGGGTCTAAGGCTGTCCCTCCTCCAAGAACTGCCTGATTCTCTCATCCTGCTAGACAAAAGCAGAAATGTATATTAGTAGTCATGATGTCTGAGTATAGTAAACCTAAAGAAAAAAACATGCAACATACTTGGTATCTTTTTGAGACATCACCCCAGATCTTTTCCTTGATAGCTTGTGTGAAGGAGGTGTCATCATCAGTAACTGTGAAGTGATGCTGGAGCTTCCCCAAAATGGGCAGAATCTGGCCCAAAGTTGGACTCCTTTCAGCAGAGATGCAGACGGTTGAAGTATATAGTATCTTCATAACTCTGACAAATTGTTCTGCTTTTCTAAAATCCTCATCAGAAAGTCTCTCCAGTCTAAAAAAAAGCAAAAAAAAAAATAAAAATGCAAAAAAAAAAGATTAAATTATACACATAAAATAAAAAAGTTAAAAAAAAAAATAAAAAAGCAAAAAAAAACATAAAAAAAAAAAAAATTAAGTGTGTGTCTGTGTGCAAATGAATGCACATAGGTGAGTGTGAAGCGTCTCCTGCAGTAGTGTCGAGGTCCTGCTTCGTGCTTGCAGCTCTCTGCATTCAGCTACTGCATGGCATGTCCCTACATTTGGGCTGAAAAGAGGAGCCAGGGTGCGATTCTCCTGCCGGTACATAGCCTCTCCACCCCAGAACTCCAAGCAGTGCCTCCACGTGGCCACACACGTCAACTGGGTACTTTACTGTCCCAGGCCAAACTGCAGGGGATCTCGGAGCAACAGTGGGCCCCAGAGACGAGACCAGACGAATCCCACCACCATGAGGACGTGTCTTGGCATCCGTCAACCACTGTCCCAGCTATGGGTAAATAGCCTTACTACCTTGTAAGCAGTGTTGGACACTATAGTTCAAGAAAATAACTAGTCCCCGATTCCTGTTTTGGAACACCTGTCCCCGACTAAAGCTGTCCCAGAAAATGTCCCAGATTTTACCGTTTTATGAATGAGGGGAAAATGTTGTGTGTAGACTGTTATTACGATGGAATGAGGGCATGAGCATGCTGCACGCAGTAAAATTTGTCAGCTAGCTGGTTGGCAGTTGTTAACGTATAGATGAGGATTATACCGGTGTTACAACCAAATCTGTGACCTGTCATGTAGTGAGACCAAAGCATCTGGTGAGAGTCTCTTCACAACTCTGCTATCTACTAACCCTAACTTCCCTGCATTCATTCCTACACCTAAAGAGGTCTATAGTGATATAGATGTAGCACATCCTTGGGTCACAATGTATGAAGGGTCACAGATTTTCTTCCTCCACCTGAATAACCCCAGTATCTCATCTGAAAATTACCAGCTTTCAACAGGTGTGTAAAACAAGGGTTTTATTTTAACTATTAAATTGTAAGTTTTTATATTGTACGTACTAATGTGTTTGGAAATTATTTTGATTATTGTTTGTTTCTGTTTTACATTAGTGTAAGATTGATAGAAAAGGAAAGGAAGAAGATCAGAAAACGGATAGAAAGAAGATGGAATGAGAGCAGAGAAGTAAGAGGAGTCTACTTAAAAGAGTTAAACAGAGAGCAGGTAAAAGTAAGAAGAGTGCTAGAATGTCATGATCTTGGCAATGATGATTGACTTAATTACTAATTTCATTCACCTGTCTTACTCCACCTAGTTTGTCATTCATCTGATCCACCTGCTCCTGCTTCTATTTAACCTGCCTGTTTCCAGTCATCAGCGCTGACTATTCACGAGCCAATGGTGAGACTGTTTGAGCGTTATCTTGGTGTTTCTGATTACCTGATCCTGACCTGTTCTGCCTCTCAACCACTGTCCCTCCTGTTCCCGTCTGATTTCTTAGGCAGACCTGTCTCTGGACTGGATCCTGCCTGTTTGCTGAATTTGGAGCTGTTTCCTGTCAGCAACCTGGATTTTCCTCCATAACCTCTTCTGTCTTCTGATCATTTGGTTCTGAATCCTGAGCGCTTCCTTGACACCAGCTCTGGCTTCGTCCTCTAGATTATCCTGCCTTCCTTCCTCTGCCCGGATCTGATCTCCTGCTTGTTTTCCGTCCTCCGGGGCTCCAGCATCTGGGATTCTATGTGCGGCACCTGCCACCTCTTGCTGTCAGCTGACCAGCTGGAATCAACCATGTTCTCTGGGCACAGACTGAACTATTAAACCAGGTTAGTGACTGACATTCATAATCTTCCTCTACCATATTTACCAGGTCACTAACCTGTGTTTCCTTTCTGCAGAGGTTCCTGTCCAAGAAGCCCTAGCTCTTCACTGCAGATCAGTTTTTTAATAAATGCATTTTGAGAAATTGTACTGTCTGTCTGTCTTGAATACTGGGTCAAGCTTGAATTAGAAAGTAAAGAAGATGGAGAGGGAAGAAGACAGAGAAGACTGAATGACCAGATGGCACTAATAAACACGACTGATTGATTCATTTGACTAATCTTAGGAAATACTAACAGTACACAATTTATATGCGATTTTTGTTGTTTAAATAATAATAAATGTGTAAAAATGGGTTACAGCATCACTGTCCGGGTTTACCAATCAAATTTGGATGATATGTATTTCTTTTTATCTACGAGCTGGAAATATCCATTGTAAGCTTTTACAATTTCAGAAATCTGGTCACCTTATGTTATAATGCAAGTTAACAGTCATTGCTCTTTCTATTTTTTCTAGTCGATGCAATCAACTGATTTTCCTAAGATAGAAAGCTTTAAATCATTTGACTGTATTGTAAAGTGCCTTGAGATGACATGTCTTTGGAATTGGCGCTATATAAATAAACTGAATTGAACTCAGTTGGTAAATAAACACCTCAGGTGGCGTTTATGGCAAGTCTGCACTCAGGAGGAGCGGCTCTAACACAGGAGGACGGCCCGCTATTATGTGGGCTACTACTGCTCCCTGGGGACAGGGGCAGATTTAGGAAATTTGGGGCCCTAGGCAAAGACAAGCAGGGGGCCCTCTGAATTGAGAAGACAACACATAAACAAACAGACTATTATCCAGATAGAGAAATTTTAATAGAATAGACATTATTTGTTCTACGTTTTGTCCCCCTTCTTCTTGTCCCTTTTCTTGTTGTTTTCTTCTCTATGTTTTGTACTCAGCTGACTTTTCATGCTGTCTCTAAAGGAATGAAAGTAAATAACCCAGTCCTTCTTTTCACTGTAGACAAGCCATGATCTGTTTATCTGTTCTCCATTTTTCATTTGGATGAAATAATAGCTGCATGAATCATGACAGCAGACAAGATAGAGGAGTCAAGGGCGTAGGTTTGATTTCAACTTTGGTAGTTCAGTTTCATTGGTCTGATGTCATTGGTCCTGTGCAAAAATATGCATGCTTAAAGGAATAGTACACCCAAAACATGATTAGCCTTCATTTTCTACTCACCCCCATGCTGAACAACACTCTGGAGTACTTTTTTGATATCTCAAATGCATCTGGAGATCTGGGAGGCTTCTTGCTGTCTGCTGACATTCAAATAATGGAGGTCTATGGCGCCCGAGGCAGAAAGGTCCATAAAAGTCCACAAAAAACGTGTCAATATTCCTCCATACTGCTCGTCCAATGTATTCCAAGTGTCCTGAGTGGGTAGCGTCCATAATTTACTCGAAACGAAGTCTTTTAGAATGTTTTTAGAGCATAAACAGTAGTGTATAGGATTTCCTGAAAGCGCGCGCCTGCAAGTTCACGACGCTACGGAAACTGCGGCAGACCAAACCAGATGAAAGTGCGCATTCAGCTCAGCAAAGAACTCATGCTCTTCCTCAACACTGAAGTCCTCAGACATTTTTCTTTCGTTGTTTCTTTCTTTGCACAGGTAAACAGCACATTTCTTCTTCTACGCTTGCATTATCGGCA